GGATTGAGTATCTTTCTTCGGCTCCATTGTCTGCGTCCTGGGAGCCTGGGTCATTCACTGGGAGGCACAGAGTGCCCCAGAGAGGGGGATTAGAGAGTTTGAGGCTCTCCTGGCCTCTGGGGTCCTTGAGTATGGGATTAGTAGCACCGTGGTCCAGGCTCAGTAGGTGGACGCACTCAACGTCGGCCTCAGTGGCTATTATTCGGGGACACTAACTGGCAGCGCACTGACATTCACTCGTCAATGGATATTTACTGATCTCATTACATCCCAGGCACAGGCACAGAGACATAACTTAGCCGGGACTCGGTCACAGAGGACTCGTAGTTTTGGAGGCAGGTGGGGGCTTCCACGGCCATATTAGCAGATCGTTCGAAGCCAGAATGATAGTGCTTGAATAGAGGTGTTTGTGTGTGGGCTGAGGCCAGGCTGGGAGGGGTAGAGGCGTATCAAGGAAGGCTGCCCGGAGGAGGTGAGAGGAAAGTCAGACAGGTGCAGTGAGGCCAGCATCACTGCTCCAGGGAGCACCGATGTGAAGGTGAAGATGGAGAGACCTCAGACAGTGGGGGTGAACAGGATGAGGGGTGGGGGCAGGGCCGTCAGCTGGAGCAGGTGCTCGGGGTGGGGGTGGGGCACCGAAATCCGCGGGGTGGTGCTGGCCCTTGGTGGCCGCCTCCGCTCGCTGCCTGTCAGTGTCCACCCCCTGGTCCCTGCACTGTGCCCTTGCTGCCTGCCACTTTCAGCTTTTAAATGGAACTCATTTGAGCGTCAGGGCACCAGGACACATTGGAAATCACAAAGCTTTCATATTATTTTCTCCTTCTCTGTAATTTATTTTTTTGCAACCTAGTCTGATTTTTTTTAAAAAAAAAAAGTGCCCAGCAGCAGTGATAATAATAATAATCTTTGCCTCCCAGCGGTTGGCTTCTGGCTGTTACCTTCCAGGCTTTGGCCCGAGGCACATTTATTTTTTAGGACTTGGTTGTCAACTGTGGAGGGACAGTCTCCCAATGGAAAGAGGGGGGACCGTGAGGCCTTTGCCAGGGGCTCTGCCCAGAGCCTTCTCTTCCTTAATCCTCTGAACGGTCCTTTGAGGTGAGGGATTATTACCACATCTGATTTCAGGAGTAGTAACCAGGCTCAGAGAGGTGAAGTTACTTGCCTAAGGGCACACAGTCTGTAAATGGCAGAGACGGGACTGGACCCGGGTTGGCCTGACCCCAAGCCTGGCACCATGGTTTGTCCCACTGCGTCATCTCAATCCTGTGTCATGTGCCCTGGGTTCTGACCCACTGTGCTCTCTTGGGGCATTGATCTCCTCTCAGCCTCAGTTCTGCACCTGTGGAATGGGCAGCGCCATAGCCAGCTCCCTGGTCTGCTCCTAGGATGGGGGCTTGGAACTCTTCCTGCCCCACCCCCACACTCACGTCACTGTCACCGCACCCATTCTGTTTGCTTCATGCACCACTACTTTCAGGAAGCCCCTGACCCTCCCCCAGTCTCCCAGCCTTCTCCCCTCACCCCTACACTCACTCTGGGCTGTCATTCTGTTTGTGCATCTGTCCCCTTGCTTGGACCGAAAGCCTCTCAAGGACAGGGCTGTGCCTCGTTCGTTTCCAGGGAGCGTTGGGCATGCACTGGGGCGGCCGCGGGGAAAGGGGTCCCGGAAAGCGGAACAGCCTGGGTGAAGGCATGGCCAGAGAGACGCAGGGGTGTGTGGGGACCAGCATTTATTCAGCCCCACTGCGTGCGGGGCGCTATGCTGGGTGCTTTATACACAACTCAGCTATTCCTCACAATGGCCCTCGGAGGAGGGTAGGCTGTGATTTCCGTTCCACAGAACCAGACACTGAGCCCCACTGCAAGGGCAGGAGATCTGAACAAAGTCACCCTGCTGAGGGGCACTGAGTCATAGAAACGTGACGGACTGACTCCAAATCCAGACCTGGCCTCTCTCTGCACTGTGGGAACCCCCCGGGCACTCCGAGCACAGCCCTGTCTAATGTGGAGAGAACACTTGGAATTTTTTTTTTTTGTTAAATTACCTGCGGTCTTTGGTTGACCTTGAGTGTTTGCATCAGATAAACCCTGGACGTCTTGTGAATTGACTTTTTTCATTAATATTTTTTTTATTGTGGTGAGACAACTAATTTTAAGCCTCTAACTTAGTGATTATATTCTTTTTTTTATTGTTTATTTATTTGAGAGAGAGATTGAGAAAGAGAGAGCATGAGCAGGGGAGGGACAGAGACAGAGAGAGAGACAGAGGATCCAAAGCAGGCTCTGCATTGATGTGGGGCTCGAACTCATGAACTGCGAGATCATGACCTGAAGTCAGACACTTAACTGACTCCAGGCACCCCAATGATAATTGTGTGTGTGTATATATATATATATATATTTAACTTTTAACGTGTATATATATATATATATTTAACTTTTAACGTTTATTCATTTTTGAGAGAAAGACAGAGCATGAGCAGGGGAGGGGCAGAGAGAGGGAGACACAGAATCAAAAGCAGACTCCAGGCTCCGAGCTGTCAGTACAGAGCCCGATGCAGGGCTCAAACTCACTGACCGAGAGATCATGACCTGAACCAAAGTTGGACGCTTAATTGCCTGAGCCACCCAGGCGCCTCCAGATCAACATACACCTGTATCCACACCCCAGATCAACACGTGGAACATTTCTGACACAGGCCCCCTCCAATCTCTTCCCCGTCAGGGGTGCCCCTCCTGCCTCAGAGTCATCAAAATGACTTTTTTTACTTGGCTCACGCCTGAACCTCACAGAGAGGGAGTCACTCCGTGCACAGTTTTGCCATCTGGCCTCTGTGGCTCATACTTGGTCTGTGGGGTTCGTGCGTGGCTGCTCAGATCAGTGGCTCCTTCTTTTTCATTGCCCTGTTGCTCGCCGCCACTGCACCCCCTCTACGCTGCCCCTTGTTCATTCAATAGACACGTGGGCTGTGAGCTGATATACTCCACGAATTTCACCAATCTCCGTGTTCACGATTTTGCTGTCAGGGCTGGCTGGCCTTCATGACAGCATTAGGCAGAGGTGTTTCGTTCCTTGGAAATTTAAGCAAGTATAAACATCTCCCTGATCGTGATTGTTTGGATCTGAAACATACACATCTGTCTCTCTCTGTTTTCTGTTGCAACCGTGGGCGGTGGGGGGAGGGGAAGGGAGGGGCAAGAGAAACTGATTAAGCTTTAGGGAAAGTTTCTCCTTCTTTCCGCAAGAGCTAAGTGGCAGATAATGGAGTCGGCCTGTAATTTAAAGTCAAACGCTCCAAGCTGACAGGGGAGCCATAATGAATGTGTTGCTGCTGTCCTTTCTGTGTCCTTTCCGGGCCGCTTTGAAATCTCATAAATAACCGAGAACATGTTGGGAAGATGCCTTCCTTCCCTCCGTTTGCTCCAGTGGAGCAGCTGCGGTTGCTAGGTTGAGCTCCTGGTTGCTAGGGATTTTGTGGTCCTGTGGTGGCCCAGAAATATGACGGATCAGTGGAACATGCCTTTGCTATTAATTGAAATATTTTCACAGCGAATCTCTCAATGTCACTGCATGCTTTGACCGTGTCCCAGTTGGTTGCCAATCCTTGCAGCCTTCTATTCTAGTTAGATGTGGCTTGAGTGGAGGGGACAAGCAGCCTGGACAGGGAATCAGGAAAGCCTGATTCTAGTTCTGTCTCTGATTCTAATTTGCTGTGTGACCTTGGGCAGGTATCAGCCCCTCTCTGGGCGCTGGATTTCACAAAATTCAAGAAGCTGCCAGCTTTGCCAGCCTATAGTTCATCACCCACGCTCCGTAAGAGGGCCAAGTGCAGATCAGTTCCTCATTATCTGCTGGCGGATTAGTGACAAAAGAATTCTTGTCCCGAACTCACTTCCTCTCAACCCAGCAGGTTTCTGGGCTGAGTCTCCTTGGCCAGATGGTATGTGTGCGTGGGAGTTTCAGACTAATTTTAATATTCAATCAAACATAATTGGGATCATAAATCTGAAAAAGAAAAAAACAACACCCTTCAACCCATAAACATCTGATCATGTCACTTTCTCTTTCCTCCCGCTTAAAAATTTTGGGCAGCTTCCCATCCCTGCATGGGGGACAGCATGCAGATTGCACCTCAGTTGCTGAGGCAGGTGGGTTGGTGGAGGCTGCAGGGGGTGGTGTCCTGAAAAGAGTCAGGACTCGCTGGCCTGCAGCATCTCAATCGATTAATGATGTCTGCCGCAGGTCTCGGAGTGTAGATGGGTGTGCGTATCTGCCAGGCCTGGTTGGAATTCGAAGCCCGTGCCTTTAACATCATATGTGAGGCCATCACAACGGGCACCTGCTGGCTTCTCAGGCTTCACCTCTTCTCTCTCGGCCCCACCCCCAAAAATACCTGCTTGGTGCCTGTGCTCAGCTGACCACCTGCTGTCTCCTGAGACCTCCTTTCGTCGTCTCTGCGACGTTGTTCCCTCTGCGTGTGGGGACTTAGCGCGTTACATTGGTCTGTGATGCCTATGCGCCTCCCACACTTCAATCTCAGCGTCATCTCGCCTTAGGGGACCACCTCTTTGAGTTCTGAGTGGGGTTCATAGGCACCTTCCTGTCTCTGCCATTCCGCTGTTCCCCACTTACACCAGCCCCCACCCCCAGCCTGTATCCTGCTCCGTTTTATGTCTCTTTCCACTGCTGACCTTGAGAGGCCCTCCAAGCCAAGTTCTGGGGTTCCCTCGGTTTTGCGTCCTCAGGGCCCCATACCGAGCAGAGCCTCAAAAAATCTGCCCAGGGAACCCATGGGTGAGTGAGGATCACAGCGCGCTCCGAAGACAGACAGCAAGGACGTTTGTAATTTGCCCTGCAGCCTGAGCTCTGGGTGTCCACACTCCACAGCCTAATTGTGGGTAATTTACTGTGGAAATAAAGCGACCACACTGTTTCCCTCGGGTCTGAGCTTCTCGTTCTTGCCCCCTGACGGCCTCCCCCTCTCTCCCTTTGCTCTCAGCCTGAGGACAAGCAGAAGGCAGCAGCTGCCTTTGCCCAGCTCCAGGCCGCCATGGAGACGCTGGGCATCTCGGATGGCGAGCGGCGGGCCATTTGGCGGGTGCTGGCGGCCATCTACCACCTTGGCGCGGCAGGGGCCTGCAAAGGTAAGTCCTTCCTGCTGAGCACACCTGCGCTGCCAGCTGTCTGCCCTGGTGGGTGCCTGGCGAGGCCCCTGTCTCCATGAGGTGGGACGGGATCAATCTGTCACCCTCTGGGTCTCTGGGACTGGTCGCTGGGAGGCTGCCGGACCAGGCGTCGTGAGATGGAAACAGGGAGCAGGGGTTTTCAAGCAAATCCCGTCGACCAGCGTGGCCCAGCGGACTTCTCTGTGATGATGGAGACGTTCTCCATCTGTGCGGTCCGGAACCAGCCGCGTGCAGCCATTGAGTGCTTGACGTGCCGCTAGTGCACCTGACGAGTTGGGAGTTTTAATTGCATTATGTTTTAATTACTATACATTTGAATAGCTGTATGTCGCTTGCAGCCAGTGTCCTGAGCACAGAAGCTCTCCGACACTTGAGAGATAGTTGGGTCCAAGCAATACAGATGCTGTGTTTCGCTCTAGACAACTTGGAGGTGCCCCCCGCCATATGTGCCTGCTCACCCAGCCATCCTTATCCTCCGGGGCCTGCTCCCTGCCCTTAATCGTGTGTTTACTGATTGTTCTCCTTCACCTTGTTTCCCCAAGTGGTTCTGGTCTTCCCTCTTTCCCTCAGCCCTCCCTAGCCAATCGTTCTTCACCTTGCCCTGGAGACCATCTCTGTGACAGTATTTCTGTCCGTGTTTCTCTGTTCTTACTGTTTGCCAGTCCTTTTCTTTTCGCTCGGACTATTGCAGTAGTCTCATTGCTAATGACTCCCCTCCTCCCTCTGTCCATTCTCATTGTGACCTTTGGGCTCTTTTCTAAAAAACACAAGCCTATTGTGTGCCATTAGAATCCTCCTCAGCTTCTCCCTTGCATGCTTAGTCAAGTAAAATTCCTTGGCTTGGCATTCAAGGCTCCTCCCTTCCCTAACCAAATCTTTTATCTCTTTTGGCATTGTAAAAGGTCCTGGGGAGATAGTAGGATTAAGAGCAGTGTGGTTCCTGCATTCATGAGGATTGTGGTGTCTTGTATTGTGATTGTGTCTTGTCTAGCTCTTTCTAGTAGGGAGTAACTTCGTTGGGGCCCAGGACATAGAGCTGAGATTTCCTTGTTGAATGAGCATGAGAATTGAGGGCTGTCCCCTGAGGGCTGTGTACTGACTCTGGCTGACATTCTGTGTCATTTGTCTGTGGGCAGCAGACTTCTGGAATATTATGGCCCATCATTCCTGCCATCTCCGCCCTCCTGGGCCTTGGGGCTCATTCTGTTGATTCTCATACATGCGAGCTGCATATATTTGGCCCACTGATTTGATTTCAGAAATTTCTAGGAGCTGTGCTGAGTCAGAAATAAGGTAGGAGTTCCACGATTAGTCCAAGCCAAGGACAGATATGCTTGACTGGGCAAAGGTGAAAAAGCCAATGCCACTTGCCTTTCCAAAAGCCAGTCATGGGCCATACCTGACACCCTGGCTGTTGGGGCATCACCGTCATTTTGCCCATGGAACTCTGATGTGTGTTTCTCAGCTCCCTTGTTGCCGAGACCAGGCTGAGTCAGGCACACCGTGGTGTGAGGACACGGCCCCATCTCCAGCCTGGACTGCATTTCTTTTCCTGCAAAACTCTAATCATCTGGTAAAATCCTTACCTCTGCATTTGGCCCTGTCCTACCGAGGGTCAGCAAACCATGGCTCATGGGCTAAATCCAGTCGACTGTTTTTGGATAGCAGCAGGCTCAAAAGAGTTTTTATACTTCAGTTAGATGGAGATCTATCTCTCTATCTCTATCTATATATCTATGTATCTGTAATATTTTGGGATGTGTGAAAATTCTTTTTTTAATGTTTATTTATTACTTATTTTGTGTGTGTGAGAGAGAGAGCAAGCAGGGGAGGGACACAGAGAGAGGGAGACACAGAATTCCAAGCAGGCTCCACATTGTCCGTGCAGAGCCTGATGTGGGGCTTGAACTCGCCAACTGTGAGTTCATGACCTGAGCTGAAACTAAGAGTCAGATGTTTAACTGACTGAGCCACCCACGTGCCTCAGGGTGTGTGAGAATTCTATAGCGGTCAAATCATAGTATCCATAATTCAAGTTTTATTGGAATGTGTCATGCCTCTTCATTCACATGCCTGTGGCTACGTTCCAGCAACCATGGCAGAGCTGAGTAGTTGAGACAAAGATTGTATGGCTTGTAAAACCTCAAATAATTATTATATAGCCCTTTTCAGAAAAAGCTGTCCCATCCCTATTCTGCACCGTTCCCATGGAAGATCATAGCAATGGGGGATCTTTGTGCCCCTGAAGTGCCTGTTTATGCTCTGAAAACACTCCTCCACCCTCCTTAGACCAACCCAAGCCAGAGAGAGGATGTTAGCAAGCTAGCTCTGCCCCCCACCTGGATGTGTGACCTTGAGCAAGTCCCCTGTCACTCTGGTCACAGGTTTGTCAGATGTGAAATTCTGTGGCCGAACCAGATTAGAGTTTCTTAATCTTGGGAACTTGTTTTCTGACAGTTCTGGAGGCTAGAAGGTCAAGGTCAAGGTCAAGGTGCCTGGCAGGGTTGATTTCTCTTGAGGCCTCTCTCCTGGGCTTGCAGAGGACTGCCTTCCGGCCGTGTCTTCACACGGCCCACCCTCTATTCATGTGTGTGTCTGTGTCTTGATCGCCTCTTCTTTTAGGACACCGACCACCCAGAAGACCTCATTTTACCTTAATTATCTCGTGAAAGCCTCAGTCAACAAATACAGTCACAACTTAAAGTACTGGTAGTTAGTACTTTAACATATGAATTTTGGGAGGACGAAATCCAGCCTATAATACACCCCAGTCCCTGAGACGAGCCAACACCTGGCCCGTGCCCAGACCTGGGAGGGGAGGGACGCGAGGGGCTGTGAAACTAGTATCCTGTCTTGTGAATTTATCATCTTACTGGAGGACATGAGACTTCCAAACTGGGACCAGCTTTGTGAACTGGTTGCGTTGAGAGAGGGATTGCAGAGGTCAGACCAGGAAAGCCCTGAAGGTTCAGAGTCGGGGCATCTGTGGTCGGGGAAATGTGGAAGGAAGCAAGCCTATTCTACAGAATGGAAACCCCAGGCTCTTGGTGCAATTAACCAGGATCGGGAACCAGACTTGTCTGAGCTTTGGTGGTCTCTCTTTTTTTTTTTAATGTTTAGTTTTGAGAGAGAGAGAGAGAGAGACAGAGCGGGCAGGGGAGGGTCAGAGAGAGACAGAGACACAGAATCCAAAGCAGGCTCCAGGCTCTGAGGTGTCAGCACAGAACCCGACGCGGGGCTCAAACCCACAAGCAGTGAGACCGGGACCTGAGCCGAAGTCAGCCACTTAACCGACTGAGCCCCCAGGCGCCCCAGTGGTCTCCTCTTTCGATGGGCAGAGCATGGGGTTGATGGGTGGATTAAGCGGACTTTGGGAGAGGAAGCTGAGTGGGGCTGGGTTCCATAAATCACACCCCCAGACAAAGATTTGAGTGCACAGGGCTTTTCTGGAGGGGGGGTCACCAGGAGGGGAGGAGGCAGGGAAGGGAAGGCAGGCGGTACTACATGTTGTAAGGAGCACGTCGCCTCTGGGCGACTGGAGCCCAGCTCCTCTGGGAACCTCTGGGCGACTCTGAGGAACGCGCCTCCGGGTTGTATGACCTGGGAGACAGAGGGAGTTGGGACAGTCATACCTCCTGCTGCTCCGCGGATGGAGGTTGCTCCTGGGCAGAGTTAACGCCCGCACTTCCAGCCTGCCCCGCGCTGGAGCTAAGCATGAGCCTGCAGCCAGCAGAGGGACGCAGTCAGGTACCGCAGGGACAGACGGGGGACACGTATGGCACAGCAGGTATGGGACGGCCAGGGCGAGCACTGGTGGGCAGGTCCTCAGTGGCAGTGAGCTCAAGACAATCTTTCGGTAAAAGGCAAGTTCGGGATTTTCTTGTGGGTCCCGGCCCAGGTGACCCTCCCACCTGTGTCCAGCTGACACAAGATCGCTCCCATCAAGGCACTCTCTGAGTCCTGCAGACGGGTGGGAGCTGCCTCCCGATTTGCACAGTCAGTGCCAGCCCTCTCTGCCCCCAGTGTGACCAAACAGAGGCTAACAGAGCCCCCTGACTATTGACCTGTCACCAGGGGAGCTGGTGGTAGAATTTCTCCTCCAGGGGGCACGAGAGATCCCCCTCTGATGCGGGCCCGGGGCCCTGACCCGTAACTGTAGCTGCCTGTAATGATAAAAGGGAAAGTCACATTTATAAATATTTTATTAATACATGATTACGGCAATAATTTCTCCCAGCCTCCTCCCCCACCCCCCCCCAACCCCACCTTATAAATTATTTTAAGAGGAGCTGCCGTCAGTCTGCCCGGGAGGCCTTACCCGATGATTTACTTACTATATATTCTGCTTTGGAAGATTTCATAATAGGTTGCTTTAAAATCAGCTATTAAGAATTTCAAAGTCATATATAAATGTCTTTGCTTTGTGTCATAACAGATCATTTTGAAATATATTAAGAATCATTTCCATGAATCAGATTTTTTTTTATTAAAATGATGATCTCCTCCCAACGCGCCTGGCTTCCTTAATTTATTTTGAGAATCCTGATCTTATTTTAAAGACCAGAATCTGTCCCTCTAGGGACGTTTTGGGCCTTATCACCAGGCTCAGGGTGTCTAAACTGTTCTGGTAATAACAGCCACAACCACGGGACTGGTTTAGGGTTTGACGGAGTCAAAGGCAACTTGCACCTTGATCGCACCCCTTGATTTGATTCGATTCATGCGGTAAACTGATGAGGGGGCTTCCTATTGCCCCCTCAATCAGGTTTGATAATTTTCCAGAAAAGCTCATGGAACCCAGGAAGTCACTTTACTTACTATTATTCTTTTGTGGTAAAGGATACAGCTCAGGGGTGCCTGGGTGGCTCAGTCGGTTAATCATCTGACTTCAGCTCAGGTCATGATCTCACAGTTCCCAGGTTCGAGCCCTGCGTCAGGCTCTGTGCTGACAGCTCAGA